TTACAATGGAGAAACTAGCAATTCATGGGGCAATAAAGTTGTGTCCGGCCGGCGCCGGGAGGGTGGCGAGAATATTCCCTACCGCGCCCGGTCGGATCGAACAGGAAGTGCCTGGAGCGATCAGCCACAAAGCATCCTGGTGCACACGAAGTGTTTTTCATCCGTTCTGATACACGGAAGAAGAAACTTCAAGAATTTTGAAAAACTATCAGTCAAAGATAATAATAAAATAAATAAATAATCAATATCGTAAATTTTAAAAGAGAATGAAGATTTTCAGCACGATTTTCTCTACAGTTTCATTTTAGTATTAAATTCAGAATTACTTTTTCCTTTTAAGTTTAAAAGAATGCAGGGCAAGCCCGATAAGCCCGGCGCCACCAGATTAGCCCTGATATCAGTTAGGTCGCCAGTGCGGTAGCAAAAGTAATAAAATACTTATGATAATGCCTGCACTAGATTCTATAGCCCAGTTTTAGCTGTAGGGAGAATGCAGGCCTTCATGTATTTAGGCGATTGTCTGGGCTAAATAACAACATTGCCAGTGTGATTAAGAGAAGTTTACATTCCCGAAAAAAGGAAAAAAAAAACACAGTACTATCCGTTCGACAGAGTGCATCCTTCCTTTCGACTGCCGCTCCCATATTTCGCTTTGACGGGCTAATCTCCAATCGTTGGGAATATCCCCCCCCCCCTCCTACCCTCTAGCCGCCCGATCCAGGCCCGCTACATTGTGGGAGCTTTTCAATCGCCATTGACAACATCAATTAGAGACCCCGGTGGGGGCCACCTATCAGGATGGAACGAGGGAGAAGGCGCGAAAAAAGAAGAAAAGAATTCCGCAGCGCATTCAATGCAGATAAGGGTTTTGAGAACAGCCCCCCTCCCCCTTTCCCCCTCAATTGGATTGAGATCTGGGGCGGCAGCAGCCGAGGCCAGGCGGTCTTGTGGACCTGCATCAGAGGTGCACCGGCACAAAAGCACCTCAGACGTACTTTCTTCCTTCTATTTATTCGTTTGCCCATTCTTTTCTTCACTAACCCAACTATCAATTCATTCGTGTGTTCTGTATGCAGTAGGCAATAAAAAGGTTAAGCAAGGACCTGTAAATAGTTCTCTCTTTTCGATTGGTCACATTTTGAATAAAGCGTCCTGCACTTCAATTCACATTTTGAAAGAAAAAACTTATTTTCTTGAATAACCATCTGATTTCTAGTGCCGAATTATACACTTAACCAGTGTTGAAGTAAGCAAAACATAAAATACCAACTTACCTTCTGAAGGAAGGAGTTCATCCATTTTGTGAAGGTCTTCTTCTGGATGTGGAGTCGCTCCTCCTGGAGCGCCTTGATGCGCAGCTGTTCAAATTTGGCAACATCTTCGCGCTGACTCATGCTGCCACCGGCCAGAAGTTCATACTGTAAGGCGAAATAACGGTCAAGCAATGAATAAACGAAAGACGTGTTAGGGATGGTCCAGAAAGTACATGCTCCGCCGTTCTTTCGTAGCGCCTATTGTGTAGGCAACATCGCATGTCTAAGTGCATGCGTGTCGTGCGGGGTGGCCTACTCCGAGTCTCGCAGGCGCCGAGCCTCCGTAATTTGCCGAATGAACCTGATCGAAACGGGTGTAATTTCTGGACGACCCCTTTATCAGAAGCCTGATGGGTAGACAAAATCACTACACACCGTCGATGTTGGCAAAAAGCCCGACATGACTTCGTGCTTGCCTTGCCTATCATGTGGTAAATATAGGGCTACTGCGGCCACGAACATGCAGCCCCCCAAAAATGCGTACCAGAGTGTGAAATGATACATTAATTTCGGGTGATTCAGAGAAGACGCAGCACCACGAAAAAAATAGTATTGGATGTCTGAGCTTAAAGATTAGTTAATTTGATGAAAGTCAACTAATTTGCTGTGGCAGCTAATAGTTGACAAAGCCAAGCTCTGGCGCGTTGGCTGCAATACCGAACCCGTTAGTTCTAAAACTCTTTTGAAGTTAAGTCATCAGAACAAACCACAGCCCAAGCTTGGCTCAAAAATAACTTCTTAGCCGTGGAGAAAAGTCTTTTTTTTTTTACCGTGTGCGTCTTCTCTGAATCAGTCGGTACGTGTGGGACGATTTCCGTGTATCCTTTAACAGCTCCCATAGTGAACGAGCTGCATCAATTAATTGGTTAATATAATAATTTGTTGTTAATATTACGAGTTGGGGAAGACAAGACTTCCGCGAACACACATCTGACTACGATTGACCGACCATGACAAAAAAACCATGGAAAAGTATTATTCCTGACACGAGTGGCTAATTGTGTGACTGCATCCCATGCTCAAGGAAGAAGTGGTGAGAACGTGATGATAAACGTGACGTGTGCTTTGCTACTACGGACTGTGGCGTGGCGATCACGCTTAATGAGATTCAGAGGAAAACACATTTAAGGCAGGAAAGTCAAAAGCATTTGATTAGGGTTAAAGTTAAGAATACAGTTTGGCTGAAAGTTTGGTACGAACAAACAACTTTTTTAAATTTAAATTACTTATTCCATTCGTTGACAGTGGTCGTTGATTAAAAATTGACCTACGACTGTATTTTACAGTGACCACACCGAATAAAGGGTAAAATATACCCGGAAACAGATTTATTCATTTTGCTTACAAAAGTGTGTGACATGGTACTGTAGAACGTACACGGTCAAAACAGTTAATTGATATTCAATTGGATATTGATATTGCCCTTGCAAGGACGATCGGACCAATTCAAGGACGGGGGTGGGGAAAACGCATGGCGCGTCCTCGAACCAGTCGGATGATCCTCGCACATCAAGGAACAGCTTTTACCGTGTATTTCTTACTGAACTTAAATTAATGGGACTCGGAAGTTTGCGCACATGGCCATATGCTTTATACTACTCGTAGCAAAGTTGTCTGAACACCAAAAATAGCAGAGTATATTTGAGGGGAAACGGCACCTAACACAAGGGATACCTTGTGACATTCCGAGGCGAGCTTATCGGTAATGTTGAACTGGACGCACGCCGGATGTGGCGAGAACACACACTCTTCTTGTTTGTCCTGCAAGTCCGACAAAAGAGTTTTTTCCTTTTCTATTTTTGGCGAAGGAAGGGGTCTATCATTGGCATTTTCTTGGATACAGAATGGGCCAGGAACAAGCTCTGAGCCTATTTAATAGTAAATCAAGCATGCATTCACAATCCACGAGTAATTATTTTACAAGACCACAACGAGCACCTACCATGCATGCTTACTATATAATTACGAGAAAAAGAGAGAAGAAACAAAAACTCACAAACTCAAGTGATTTACTTTGAAATAAAACAAACAGAAAGTGTTGTCATGGTCAGGGTCTAGTAAACGACAACACAAAGGGAAACGTGTCACAGTGCTTGATGCAGTTGCGCGCGTACAGGTGCGCATACGGTGCAATCTCAAAGTTACAAGACCCATGCAAACAATTACCGCTAATTGGTTTCAACAAATCTATGGTGACGCATGCGCAACCCTACGTGCTGAATCATGGAGAGTACCTGGGTCGCCATGGCTGGCCCTGCTTGCCCTGCAGGCCCTGCTCGGGGCCTCGCAGGACTAGTCGTCTCTCCTCCTCGGTAGAGCCCATCGGCCAGTCCACATTGGCACTGCCACAAGGCTCACCTGCAACAAAAATAGGAGGATATGTTAGTTACATCTTTCTAGACAGCCCTTTAATTGTGGCAGGCTGTCTCTGCCCGAGGGTAAAATAACAAATATATACTAGTTCTAAAAAATGTTCCCATTTCCGCAGAAATGAACAAAATCGCATAAATAACAATCATGAATCGATCTCGAAAGCAGATGATACAAATGAAAGAGTAGAGCAGGGACGAGTTCTAATCCTCTCTCATATTTAGAAATGTTTGACCTGCAATCCAGCGGCCCAGCAGCGTAGAGGAGGGGAGAGGGGGCAGCAGGCAGAGGCATCGGGCGCGCTGAACTCGAACTTATGGCCACAATTCGCCCGCCCTACACTCCACCTTTAATGGTCTACCTTGCGCCTCTCTACCGCTGAACACGGCGCAGTAAGCAAGCTGACACATTTAAGTATCAGTTTAGTCTTGGTATGAAATGTTTGAAATGTATCTCTGAAAAAATAATCAGTCTTCTAGTTTAACGTTTTACCGTGACTCCCGTTCTCCCTCGGTACCGTCGCAGCACGGGGCACACCTGGGAGCGCCAATGTGGTGAGCTCAGCACCTTTGCCGCGCGCGGGGCCCAGCGAGCCGAGGTGCGGCGTGGCGTGGCGTCGCTCCGCGGAGCTTCTGAGAAGCGTCTCGGCGCACGAGGCTGCACGAGCCCACCAGGACTCGCGAATAGCAGTGACACTGGTGCACATCCAGACTAGGGTTTTAGTTAAGTACACGTCACCACGTCACCAAATGCAATTACAACTGATTTCCGTTTTTATTTCTGAGGGGTGTTAAACATTAAACTACTGTCCGTTATCGCAACGATATGGGCCAGGCAGAATTGAATTCCCTCACGATCGTAGTGAAGCAAATCTACTCACAGACTTAAGGTAAAGACGGAACAAAAGGCGGCTTAAGAGACGTGTTATGGTGAGCTCCGATGAAAACTAACCAAGAGTTTCACATCATTATACCTAACAAAATGGGCGCAAATGACGTCGACATGTAACACGGTTGCAGAAGTACAAGAACTGACAATGGAATCCCCCGCTAGATTTGGGAACATATAAGATATCCCAGGATATTTTTCAGGGCTTAAACATCCGGTAGCAGAGTCCTCTCTCAAACTCCTCTCGACATGTCATCATGAGGCTGTGCCGCTCACGACATCCCGGATAATCGTCATCACTTTCTTGCTAGGAATCTTCATGACTTGATTCGTCGCCCCCTTCCCCTTCGCTGCTCCCCAGCGCCACGCCACGCCGCGCCACGCCCCACGGCGCCACCGCAACGACACATGCCACACTACACAGTGCACATATGCAGTAGAGAGAGAGGGAAAAAAAATACATTTACGACATTAGAGTGACATGCGGTGGCGGAACAAGCCCTCGGCCTCTCCCCGTTCGCAAACTTAGTCTGAGCCCTCCACTCTATGCCGTTGCAACCCTTTGGGCCAGCTGGTTCGCTGGTTAGCTGGAGTGACTTTTTGGCGGGGCGGCGCGCTAAACGATCGTGTCCTTTTCGAGGCGCAAAACAACGCGGCGGCCGGCGGCTGACTGATAAGGAGGTGACAATTACCAACGCCAGCCCGCGGCGTTGCAGGTCGGCACGGAGCACGCTGCGGCGTGGCGTGGCGTGGCGAGGTGGGACCAGGTCGTTAATGCAGAGGAGCGCACCTGGCGGGCTCCTTTCTAGGCCATAGAGAAGTATAAACATATTGCGCAAACTATTCGGGATCATTGTATTCGACAGCACGTCGGTGCAAGCATACTACATTTATCTTCAATCTCAATAATAATTGTTTTCGAGAATACTCCGAATGGACGGTGCTCGACAACGAGGAGCTTGGAGTGTGTACCAGCGAGATACAGTACAGAAATGTACATGGAATCGACTACCACACACTGCGGAGTGTACCTGCTGGCCGGAAGTACGTCTGCATCAGCGCCATGCGCACGCGGCCCAGCCGGATGGAACCTGGACCGCTGTCGGAATTCGGCCGTGATATCGTGCGCACCGTGCGTCCGGTGCAAGCGGGGACAACACTTCACGTACGTAACGCTTTGATTTCTTATGCAACTAATTTGTATTTGAGTCCCGTGGGCAGAAGGTGACCTGAGGAGTAGACTCCTCCTCACGGCGTCAACCGCAAGGCAAGGCCCGTGACGACAGGGACATGTCTGCGGCTCGTGCATTCAATTTGAAAAAAAAAAAAAGAACAAGAAAAAAGGTGGATGGAAAAGAAGACCGGCAGCACGGTGGCGAGCCTTGGTGCACCACGGACACAGACCGCAATCCACCCATTCCGTCCAGCAGCCGACTGCAAGAGTGTTCAGCGCAGCGCGAGTGCGATGCAAGTCCTTCCCCCGCCCCTTTCCCGCCACGGCCTGCCATCCAGAGCAGAGCGCATACCACGCACCGTTTACGGCGTAAGCCTTTCTCGGGATTCGCATTTATTTTCATTCTCGGTTTCAATGACACGGGCTACCGTCATCCCCACCAGTAGCGCCTGGGGCGCAGCTCAAAATCAAACAGAGCCGCCGCCAGGGTAATAAGGAAATCAATCAACATCTCCGAATGAATGGATGCAAGCAACTTTCTCTGCCCCCTTCCATTCGTTTTCAGAGTACCGCGAAAGGTCATTATGGGATCTAGCACTCTTAGAAAAAGCAATGTTCTTTTTAGAAAAAGTGTCGAATTCCATGTACACAGTACTCTTCCTTCAACATCACAGTGATAATTGTAGGTTTTTAAAAATGTAGCCAATTAGCAATACCGGGTGTAACTGTGAATGCGCAGCAGTGTTGCGGGTTTGCTTACCAAGTTCGCCCGTAAGGCATCATGGCCCCTGCAGCTCTGGTGGGTATGCAATCCCGCAACACTGCAGCGCATTCACAGTTACACCCGGTACAACAGTAAACGAGATGCGTGAAAACCGTACAGGTCTCATAGGAATAGGAAAGGACACGCATGTGCTAAATCGAAGATTCCGAGTTTTATTCACAGTCATTTAAAGCGTAAATACCTTGCGAAAAGCAGAGCAACCACACTTCCAAAAAGGCCGGGGTATACCGGCCGTAGCCAGGTGACAAGTGGCTCAAAGTGGCCTTAGATTCGTTTAACCAGGTTTCGTTTATACCCTCGTTGAAGTTGAAGGTAAATAAGAGAAGAGGCACCGGGCATGCAAGGGCTCTCGCCCCCAACTCTTCGCCTCCTGAGCGCGCGCGCGCACACACAGCGACGCACAGACACGAAAAGCCGTCGCAATTTCTCCGCTCGCTCTCTCGCAACGCACCGCTAATGAAAGGTGCTCTGGGCATCCTCACGTAACGTTCAACATGCAACTTCGAGGTCCCACACGGGGAAAAACCTCTCCTGGACGTCGTTGTCAAACTGATTCAGTTCGAAAAAGTCTTGTCGGAATCAGCAGCATGGATGCATTGCGAACAGTTCATAACTTCAAAACGAGACATTCCGTCGGAATGTATTCCATGAGAGGCAAAGTATTTTTGAGACAGATAGGTCTACTCGCTTGCGCCATCATGATTTACTCCTCGATACGCTCGTATCTGCTGCGATATCTGCGCCCACGCGTTTGTACAGTAAGCTCGACATAACTGCTGTGGGAACTGCAGGTTCTGGGAAGTTTCCACACGATACATCTTCTGACTTGTCCGCCATCGGCATCGGTAGGGGATGAGATTTTGTCAATGATCAGACACACTGTTCAAAGAAACGTTTTGCAGCACACACACACACTTTAGTATCCTTGCGATCGATTGTGGCCTTAATTTTAACTGCGAACTGATAGCGAACGATTTTCTTCACAATTTCGAAGAAATTTATTCGTAAGCTTACGAATCAGCCACGTTATTCTTCCTAAAACGAACAAATCCTTCGCATACGACTGAAGTTTAAGATTATGACTAACTTTATTTACTCATCAGGCTTTGCATTTACATAGCATGTGTTTCGCAATTGCGAAACGTTTAGAATTGGTGTAGTAAGGTTTTAACTAGGAGGGGAGGGGGGGGGTGTCACGTGTGTTTAATGCGCTCTAGCGAATCTGTAGAAGCCTTATTTGGTATGAAGCCTGAAGAGACTCAAAGTACGCGATAGGACTGACGTTAATCTCAGGGTAAAAGTGCACGCTACGACCAGAGTCCACGTGACTCAAGGACTGCCTACGTACCTCAGTACCTATGCTGCATACCTGTACAGTTAACTTTATCCTTGCAACTGAAAAATTCGATGTCCTGCCGATCAGCCTTGCATAGTGGATTCATGCATATCCAACGACCAGCGACACAGTAGGCAGGTCAGGGCCCAGCACCGCCCAGCCGCCCAGCGCTCCCGGCTGGTCCGTGGGAACCCGCTGTGATGTCACCACCGACACGGGCAAGTGCACAGCACCGCTTCAGTGCGGAGGTACGTAGCATGTTTGTGAGTGTCGCGACAGCCGGGAGGAGCCAGGGCGGGGCAGAGCCCGGGCCGCAAGCTGCATATGGTGTGTCACCAGCCAGAGCCCTTGCTGCTGTTGCCGGCCCCTGGCCCCCCGCACCACCCCAACGGGATGCTAAAACGGATCGCAAAGAGGAGGGAAAGGAAGTCGCTGCGGCTGCAGCAGGCAGCGTCAGACCGCCAGGGCGACGCAGGACACCCACTGGTCCTTGTCCCGCCACACGTCACGCCCTATTTTGGTCCTGTTGGGGTGAGGTCGGGGACGGGGAAAACGCCACGTAAGGCAGTGGCAAAGCAAGCAAGTTTTGTCGAGTTTTGTACACGAAACGACTCCCTCGTAAACACACTTTATATAACTTTAGATGGACAGTGTTGTCTTGAAGGAAAACAATAAATTTTGACAAGAAAAATTAAAATTGCGGGAGGAAAACAAAAGAAGCAAAAGCTAAACAAACTGTAGAATAATGATTATCTAAAGATTAACAATATTAAGAGAGTTAAAAGCTGTAAATTTTTAACATAAAA